TTCCTGTCGACCACACACAATCAGAACACTCACATACGACCCCGTGAATCAACCCTGAAACCCGCTTCTGGCTATTCTCCGCCCAGAACGCCCAATGCGCTGGACGCATCGGGAACGCGTACACGGCCAACGCGGCCAACGCGAAGATCGCCTCCGCCAGACGGGCCGGCACCGGAGCGCCCAGCGCATCCTCGACGTCCCCTACGCACGCGACGCCGCCCTCCTCGAGTCGCCAGAGAGTGACCTCGGGGTGTTTGGGGCTTCTGTGTCGATCGGCGATAGCAGCGTGTCCAGTCGCGGCGTCGAGGGCTTCTGCGGCGAGGAGCTTGCGGGCGGCGAAGGCGACGAACTGTTGGACGATCGGGTGGTTGGCGGAGATGGTGCCGTTGTCCATGAATCCCGGGGCGAGCTCTCGGGGGACGCGATACGCGTCGTACGAGCGGCCCGTGCGCGCGACGGAGCCGGAGACTGGGGCAGATGCGGTGTGGGTTGCGCGCGACATCAGTGCGGATTCGGACGGGGTATGATCGAAGTGGGTATGGGAGAAGTGGGTATGGAATTCGCGGTGGGTATAGGAATAGGGGATATCGTCGCGAGCTGCGCGTACGATGTGGGGTATGCTGGGATGAAGACTTGCGAGCCCGGTGGGTTGGGGGAGAGTAATGGTACAGTATGTGCGGCCGTACTCACTTATAGCTGCAAGCCTGTAGGCGCTAAAGGAAAGCCAAAGCGAACGGAGTGCCTCGTGTCCTTTGTTCGAAGCTCCGGGCCACAGACTATGGTGCCGCTTTGTGGCCTATGTCCTTAGTTGACCTTGGCTGTCAGATGGGTTGTCGGAGCCGGAACCAGCGGCTAACCGACAGAAGATTAGATGCTCGAAGGGAAGAGGGCTGAAGGTGGGATGAAGCCGAGGGTAGGTAGTTGGATGGTGTACATGTTATATATGATCCGCGAGGATGAGAGATGAGTAAAAGACAATTGAGCGACGAGCAAGGACCGGTCCAAAATCGCCGGACAGATGTAGTGGGGAAGCAACCTCTTGCCTCAGGGCAGACAAGACGATGGATCATGACATTGGGCTGCTAGGGGAGTCTTTGAGTGGGCTCTGCGATCGAGTGGCACGAGCGTCATTTGGCTACTTTTGTTCCTTTGACAATCCTGAAAGCCCACGTGATCATCGCTAGTAACACAATCCAGAACTTCTACGGAAGCCTTTCTACTATCTCACAGTCCGTGTGCTTTGGACACTTCTCGCCGCTCAGATATTGCGCTCTCCTACTAGCCTAGGGATCTCGGCTTCATGTAAGCAGTGGTGGTGTATGCATATGACGACGCTCCAACTTGAAGACAAACAGCGGGATGGGCCCGGGGGTACCAGAGTCCCTATTCCGTACTTTCCGGCGGGCTACGATGACCAGCCGTCTCTGTACGCATTCCAATGAGTATGGGAGGTCCGGGAATTTGAAAGGGAAGAGTCCCATTTGACGCCCACGGTCTGCATGATTGCTGGTCTTGGCACAGCTTCCATGGTCGTGGTCTAACTCGAACTCACCGTGACACCCACCGGCGATATTCGATCTCTGACAATCCTTGTCTTCTACGGATTACCTGGCGAACTCCCTGCATTCCTCGCCTTCGGTCTCATCCACCGCGCAGTCTCTGGCGCTTCCATGGGAGGTCGTCGAAAGGACCATCGATCACTGTTCCGGCGACCCCACCACGCTGCGCACTATCGCGGCTCTCACATGCAGCTAGCTCCGTCCTCGTAGCGTCTTTGTCCTCTTCACAAATGTTCACCCCAGAAGTGAGGAAAAGCTCAAGACGTCCTACGACGCTCTCCAAGCTCAGCCGTACTTTCGGCCTGTCGTGCAATTTCTGTCGTTTCCGTGGCCCGGGGACGGTAAGTACTGTCCGAAAGTCCGGTCTGGGGGCCACTTCTGAGCGTCTGATGAAACCATCGACCATCCTGGCATGCCTTGCCAGTGGACGTCGACGGCACCCATAATCCACCTTGCAGCCATTTTCTCTCTGCAATCCTATGGCTCATATGCAGTCGTCATGTTCAGCAGTAGCAGGAAGCCTTGCGGACACTGTCAAGGTGGAATACCTTGTGTTCTGCACTGAATCGTTGCGTTAGAGTAGTCTACGCTCTTCTACATCCACGTTACTTGACGTTTGTATCTCTCCTACTGTACCACTGGAACATGACCGCTCGCTTTCCGCTGCCCGCTGCCCGCATCCCACGTCCCCACTTGAGTGAACAGGTCAGTAATGAACTCATTCGACCTCCCTATTCGCTATGTCCGTAACCCGTCCATCTCCTTTTATGGTGTCGCAGCTCCCTTTCTTTCTCCGTAGTCATATCAAGTCATTGGGGTGATGTCGATGATACTTGAGAACAGTTAAGATGATGGATAGCCCAAGTACTGGCAGTATCACGCAGTAGACTCGGAGAGGGCCGGTCACACGAAATAGTCACCTGGCCGTCGGAGTCTCGGAATCGGCCGCTCCTTCTACTCAATGTCAACGTCAACGTCAACCTCCACCGTGCTGCCAAAGGCACAGGCAACCTCTGATCATTCCTGCCATCGAAGGCTGTTCTCGGTGCCAGCCAGTTTCTCGCGATCTGGGCCTCCAGCCTCCAAACGAATGTCATGCAACCTCCCGCAGCTCGTGAACCAATTGGATTTCCGGGGTTAGTACGTCTTGCGGCAATATCTCCCGCCCCATTGTTAACCGACAGTTGTCTCCAAGGCTGCGCTAGCACTTAATATACATGTTGATGTTCCATTCAACATATATCCACAACTAACCAATTGGCTTCTATTTGAGGGTTCCCTACATAGCTAAGCCCGGTCACAGCGCCATCGCAAGAATGGCCTTCAAGCTCGGAGCCTCCGGCCCTCTATTCTGTGGCTCCCGAAGATGGGCCGATGGTCAAGTCTTTATATCAGCAATGCTTTGCATGCCGCCTGGTTAAATTTAGGCCATCAAGAAGGCTCGACAGAGAAGTTGCCAGACCGAATAACATTGACTGGCGCGCCCAGCTTGGACCTGGTTGTCGGAGCCCTCCGCGTTCTTTTCCATGGCTGTCAATTTCACGGAAGACAGGGACGTCATCTCTGTCAGGACTCTCTTGCTCGTACGTGCTCGCTCTACTCCAGGAGGTTGTATATGATGCGATGGTGATGTCTGGTCAGTTTCAGACGGGGGTTAGACGGCGCATCTCTCGTGCATGTCCGCGCTCGCTCTGATGATGCTGGTATGATGTTTCGGCATTTGGAGACCGGGGGTAGGGCTCCTTGCCTCTGAGCTCTCGCAGGTATAAAGGCGTCGTTGGCAACATCGCAACTCCTCAGTTCGAGCACTCCCTCGGAACTACATCAGCAGTCTCTCCACAAGTACAACTTAGCATCGCCAAAATGTTCTCTCGTGCCGTCGTCGCTTTCTGCTTCCTTCTTCCTCTGTCGGTCCCTGCTGCCGCCAAACCATGGAACAACACCCCTCCGGTATCTACGACCGCGACCGCGACTGTCACCGTCACTGTCTCTGCTCCCGCTCCCACCCCCACTAGCGGCGACACTTGCAGCACAGGCCCCGTCCAATGCTGCAACACCGTGGGCTCGGTACTGGGCATTCCTCTGTCAGCGCCAGCACAAGCACTGACTGAAATTTTGTCCCACAGGCTAACGAACCCCCCTTCAGTGGCATCCTCGGCCTGCTTGGCATCGTCGTTGAGGGTGCCGAGTCCATGCTTGGCCTCGGATGCTCCCCTATGAGCGTCGACGACGATGGCTCGGGCACGGGTTGCTCTTTCAACGTAGTCTGCTGCCAGAACAACAACGTCGTAAGCAGTCGCAATCTCTCCTTTCGGCAGAACGAGCGATCTGAAGGTTAAACTGACCTTCCTTTTTTTGCTCGACAGGGCGGCCTGTTTTCTATCGGCTGCATGCTCATCATTTTGTGAAAATGGAAGCGTCGGAGTGCGGATGTCGCACAAATCTGCTGCCGCTTGACATTCGGTGTTGGTTCTTCGCCCGGTCTATATACGAGTACCGTGCGTCTGGACCCGAGGAGTTCAGAATTGCGTTCCAAATGTGGTCCGGGCTGTCGGAACGAGATACATTACGGTCCTTATGCAAATTGGAACAGGAAACAGCTTGCTTCGAGAATGCTTTCGCATAAACAACGATGCGGGCAACGAACAGATGAATCAAGGTCAACCCATGTTGAATATGACACAAGCATCTGTTCATAGACGTTCTACAATTGTAGAGGTACGCCGTTTAGGACAGGCATACGGCTTTGTCCAGCGTGATAGATAGGTTCTGTGATCAGTATGAGTCGAATCAAAAGCTGCCATTTCCATCAGGTTACTTCATCTTACAAGCGGGAGCCTGTATCGCCGGCCACTGCATTCGCCTCGACTTCAATGTCCGTTGATGGGGACGATCTAAGCCGACAAGAGCAGGGGCATCATGTCCGTCAGTATCGTATCCATATCCATATACACGGGCAGTTGGTGGCATGCGAAGCGGGATACGCAAAAGCTACAGGCGGAGACGCGGTCCTAGAGAGATCTCGTATGTAATAGATACCCCGCTGGTATGGTAGGTAGGTGACGGTGAAGTTAGAATGCCACTGTACCCTGGCATGAAATTATAGAGCGACCGTACAGGGCCGTCTCGGGCCCCGCGGGGGCCATGCGCAGTGCACCAAGCATGTGCTGGTCGCAGATTGCCAAGGACGGACCACCTATTCCCTCAGGCCAATGGTACGTATCACTTTTCGATGAACCGTGATTGCCGTGTTCCTCTAGCGACGTGACTATGATATCCCTATATGCGTCCCGAGTCCGAGTCGTCCGGTAATCCGGATTCAGCATAGGAAAGGCCTGGAGCTCCAGGCCACGTGTGACGGATGCACTGATTGCCCTCAACGAAGATCACTGTTCGCAATTCAGGGTATTGCCTAGTCTCCTATGTCCACTTCCGTAGTTGGGACCGCACTCGTCGGAGAGGACCGAGGAGGCTCAGGAGGAAGGATCCCTGGATACGGCTTGGGACTGGGTAAGGCAAGATACCGACCTGTGACGAAAACGTTAGATGATCTCTATGTTCGTATGGGGCATATTGCGGCTCACTAGCGGCGCGCAGCCTGAAAATGTGCTGTCCGGTGGCGGTCAAGCTATCGGGCCTGCTATCATGCCGTCTGGTTTGGGGGATTGGTGCCGTCTGAGAGAGCCAAAGCGAAATATTGGGGTCGGCCAAAGGTGTGTCTGGGAACTCATCGACCATACAAGCTGTTGAAGCCTGGTCTTCCTCGAAGAACGATAATTCTGCTGTAGTTCAGAAGAGTGCTGTCCACATGACATCAAGAATGGGACTGACCGGGATCAATAGTATCCAAGAGGGAATCCAGCCAAGGCTCCATCGTTCTGGATGGTTCTTCATTCCAGGTAGAGTCATTACTCGGTGACGTAACTGCAATGTCTGGCAAATCGACTTGAGTTCCTGAACTTTCCGTGGAGGTCTTCGTAGTCTGTTTGTCTTTAACAGTCGTCTGCTCCGAAACTTTAACAATGTTCGAGCGAAGCTCAGATGTGGATGCTAGAACAGAAGGTGTTAGTATAGTCCATCCTCAAAGACTGCAAGCTCACATGGCTCTGTGCCTGAATCCGAACCCCGGGCCCCTCCTCGCAGTTCCCGTTCGAAGTCGTCAAGCGACTTCTGAATTAGTGAAAGCGCTAACCGAGCGTCTTGGTTCGCCATTTGCTCTATATCGACATTTGAGGCCCTGAGACACTCAAGGACGCCGAAGGCCTCCTTCAGATCGTGCAGCATCTCATCTCCAGATATCTCCGGAATGTGCTTCTCGTGCTTCAGTTGCTTCATAAGCGGAAGGAGTTGAGAGTAGCGGAGAGCCTGCAGGACGACTCCTTGACGAGACCTCTGGGTTGTCCACACCGGAGAGCGTAACAAGAGACGGAAGCGATCTACTAGCGCAAGGATGCGATCAGGAACGGGTGAACCATCTTGTTCGAGCTTGACGCGGTGTTTCAAGAGATATTTGATGATATACTCGATCCCCGTGAGGTAGTAGCTGACGGACTCGAGCTTGTCAAAGTTGACGAGCTCTTCCAGTTCCGCATCCGTCGTCGGGAAGACAGCTTCGACTATGAACTTATGCGTAAGCTAAGACGTATGTTGAGACAACAATACTCCGCTCACCATCATCAAGCACAGTCGCTCCCGGTTCTGCACTGCGCTCAATATCGATACGACCGCTCTGCAAGTATACCAGCATGTTGTGGAATGCAACCCTTGCAGCAATGCGGCGAGAGACCAGCTGTGACATGGCGAGCAAGTAAAGCATTCCCAACTTTGTCCTCGCCGACGACTGCGCGCCACTTCGCGGCATGACCTGCAGTACCTTCTTGACTACACCCTTGCTCGGATCCCTTGTGATTAGCGAGAAGACGGTGAGGACGAAGGGCATCAAAGGTCTCCACGCCCTCCATTCTCCCCTGGGCAACCCAGCGGTGACGTCGCGCACCAGGTTCCCGTAACGGACCGACATGCGCGCAGACAGTGCGTCCATTCCGGCAAGACATGGGATGATTGCCGTGGTAATCATAGAGTCATTGAGCGTGACGTAGTAGGCGGTAAGCGCGAGCGATTGTTCCAGTTCGGCGTGTCGCTCCTCTACGTTCGGCTTCTCGCGCGCGTGCCAGGTGCGGAAGCTGCCCCATGCACCGAGGCGCTTCAGAACGACGCGAGCCGCGTCGCGCGTGTGTGCGAGCACGACGTACTTGCGGGAGGTTCTGGAGGTCACTTCGAGCGCAGCCTCTTGAGCCCGCCGCTCAATGGCCCGAACGATCTTCAATGCGGAATGTACAAGGCCTTGAGCAAGGAAGAAGAATACGAGGGCTTGCGGCGACTGGTAGCAGCAGTCGTTATAGAAGATCGGCAGAAGAGTCGTCACGATGATAAAGATTGCCACGATGCTGCTGAGAACTGTAGCCGAGATAGCGACGGACGGGTGTAGGTTCCACAGGAGGACGATTAACCCGGCGAGGAAGAGCGCCAGAGCGAGCTGTAGGAGTATGGGTAGCGCGGCGATGATCTCTGGCACCTGCCATCTGTTCAAGCTGTCGTAGCGGTACTGCCTGAGACGGGCGATGTCGGGAGACATGCCCGACAAGCTCTGGCTATACTGGTGTAACCATTGCTTGACAAGGACAGCAACGGAGGATGCGGCCAGAGTGCATATCAGCGACGAGAACCAGAGGCCATTTACCCAGATAGCGTAGTCAGGTGCCTTGAAGGGGACGCCCTCAGGCGAGAATACTGAGCGCTGAGTAGAGTTGACGACTGGAGGGGAGACCGAAAGGCCTTGCAACTGATTCGATATCTGGGCTAGGGCTAACACTACAGTGTCGGTGTTGTCCGGTTGTAGGAGAGGGTAGGATTGGACGATGAAAGCCGTCAAAGCTGTCGAGAAAAGTCCTGCCTGTACATGGAGACCAGTGAATCCGTGTATTCGGCTGCGGGGAATGACCCAACTTACGAAGACAAGGAGCATATCAAGTTCAGCGTTCCACCGTTTCAGGCGCTCTTCGTAATGGCGCTCGACGGCACTTGCGCAGAATTTCCACGCATCTTCCCGCTGTTCAGTGGTGGAGATCCAGCCGGACACTACTGAGTTCCATGGAGACTGCGTTTCAAAAGGCGAGGTGATTAGAAAGTCAGATAGGATCCTGGGAAGACGTACTCTTGCTTGTGTACGAGGGCCTGGGGCCGGCATGATGCTACTTCAGTAATCAGCAGGGCGTGGCGTTGAACTGGGAGTGTTTCGATATCACTAGGACTGCAGTAGTACTTCAGGAGAGGATCCAGACAGTGTTAGCAATAGAAAGGGATCGGATGTATTAAGCGATACCAGTACATAACGAAGCAATGTGTGACCTGGACCAGAATTCGGGTACCACAGCGGTACCTACAGCACAGGTTTGACGCAGGGAATGGCTGTGTGAATGACGTACACAGCATGTACATAGCATCGGCTAGGTGCTATATGAAAGTAGTGTTGACTTCATGGGCGACGAAGCTTGTGGCCTGGGAATGTGAATGGATGCCCATTGGAGGGCCGGTTACTTCGGATTCTGTGGCCCGACGACTGGTCTCCTCCTTTGGCGTAGAGGTTGCGCCCTCGGATGTATTGAAGCTGGTCTCCATCCACCTGGAACACTACTTGTTCAACTTCACAAGCTATGGAAGGGAAACATGATGAGAGGATTTTCACGATGAAAGTGAGTGAAAGGAGATACGAATGGACACCCTGACATCGAACAGCACCGTTGCAGGAACAGGTCAAACCGGGGCCATCACTGATTTGGTAGTGTCCGGTCCGTTTCGGCAGCCCCGGGGTGACAAATCCCGGGGGACTTGCCGCCCCCGCCCGACGGGGCCTGGTACAAGAAGCAGGCCTCCGCTGCTCAGTACAATGCTTAGTACTAGTGCTCTCTTCGTATCACCATCGTCGTCGACACTCAGGCGACAAAATGTCTAAGCACTCGTTGTCTCCAGCATCCCTGCCGCCATCGAAGCGCCTGCACACCATCGGTGCAGACGGCAGGACCCAAGATCCCCAACCTCAGTCAATATTCGACGAGCTTTTTGACGAGCTCATCCTCTTCATCTTCTCCTATCTTTCACACACAGACCTATGCAACGTACAGCGTACAAACCGCAACTGGTCGCGTCTCTCGCTCGACAATCAGGTACAATATTTGATTCTTCGTGGTCATCAGAGGGGAACACAGTAGCGACTCCGCACCGATTCGAGGGAATGATTCCAGACCATTCCCAGAGCTCAGAGCGCCTGCGAAGGGGTGACTGCAGCGACTCTCAGAATATCGGTTTCCCCTCATGGCCTGGCACGAGGTGAAACTGATATTCAGCCGCTCGACACATGCGACAAACTCAAGAGCGACGTGTAATCACTCCCTGGATCGGTGCGGAATCGAAGTCGAAATCGCTACGTTCATGTCCTCCCCCTGTTATTCAAGCAGTCGCTGAATACTCGTGCAATTAGTTGTGGAAGACGTTATACATCAACGAATATGGCAGAATGCGTCTTAGAGGCGCAAGAGGATTCATCGGCCGAGGAGACGGGAGGGAAGTGAAATCCTTACCTGGAAGAGCGAAGGCCGAGGACGTGAGGGATTGGAAGTGGATGTTCCGCATCAGTTCGAACTGGAGGACAGGTGCGTGCAGCTCCGTTCTATTCTCAGTGCAATACTTTAACGCATACCAGGCCGCTGCACCGTCGAACAATTTGACGTGGGTCCTTCGGCTGGTCTTCTCACTCAAGCTGCAGAGCCCGACGAGACTCGTCTACTCCTCACTGGCAACGTTGCTATCGCTGCATCATCAAGACCTAGCTCAGTAGCCTCACTTTGGCTCTCTTGTCCTGCACATACACCGTGTACACTTCCATGTCCCTCCTCTCGCTCGAACACAGCGCGCATCACTGCTCTAGCAATGGATCAGTCTCCGCCCGCCTCTGCTCATCACGGACGGCTCGCATGCTTTTTGTCAACAGGCGAATTTACGCTTTTCTCCATCGACCATCAGACCCCGTCCGCCTCCTCGCGGCTGCTCACCTACCACCCCTCAAGCAGGAGCTCTCGCACGGCGCCTATCGTCCAAGCCGTCTACCACCATCCGCTCCTCGTGACGCTCTCAGAATCCTTTCGCCTCTCACTCTACCACATCGGTCATGACACCGTCTCCCATACACAAACCCTTTCCTCATTCACGTCTTATCCTCCCAGCTCCCCTGTTCTCTCCTGTCTCTCCCCGACTACATATAAACTCATCCTCGCGTACGCGATCCCTGTGTACCCCGCGCACTGGACCGTTGGCGCGACGGAGCTCATCATCTCCAATTCCGAAACCGAGAGCATGGTCGTGACAAATACGCGCACGACGCGCGCGATCGACGTACCACCCGGGTGGGTTGATGAGAACAAGATGCGCACTGTGCGCGAGCAGTGGGGCCGCAAGGTCGCGCGCGTCGCGGACACGCAGACGGACGGCAAGTGGGTCGTCCTAGCCCCCGGACAGAAACTCCCCGGTGTCCTGCCCGACAGCAGCGCCGGCCAGCCCGCTCCCTCACAACCTTCCTCGTCGTCAGGCCCATCGTCACCGTCGTCATCGGGGACGGCATACACATCCTCGAGCATGTACACCGCGTCGGGGCTGCAGCTCTACCGCTTGCATCTGCCTTCGTCCGCATCGAGCTCGTCCTCACCCAAGCTGACGTTCGTGCGGACACTCCACGGTCAGATCGGACCCGTGTCCACGCTCGCTCTGTCCGACGGGCGCTGTGTGAGCCTGGGTGTCAACGGGAGCATCTGGGTGTGGGACCTCGAGGGCGGCACCGGAACCGAAGTCAGCGCAGGCGTCACGGAGGCTGGGGTTGACGAAGATGACGATGCGAGGGCGGATGCGTGGGAGAGAGTGAGGATGCGCTTAGCTCGCGGGGCAAGGGGTGCGGTTGTATTCGATGATAGACGGATAGTAAGTTCGTGTGGTAGCGGGGTCGAGATCAGACGGTTTGATGTTTGAGAGACGAAGGGGGATTGGCTTGTGTGGTATCGTTATACTGTTATTCTGCTGGATTTCTTATCCTTGCGATGTATACTGTATTCATACTATAGACGGATAGCGCTTGGGCTGTCGTTGTCCTTCCTCTTAACGTCGCGCTCCCATAGAGCATTGCGCCTGGATAGTACCTTCTCCGACACGAGGTCCTCGTACTACACAACGCCCAGGCGGCGGCGCGGAGAGGATCACCCGTCCAGGGCTCAGCTTCGTGCCGGGGGATCCCAATCTGAGGAGGCACGTAGACGGTCTCCTTTCCTGAGGCATACTCTCCAAAGTCCCCGGATTCTTGAACGTCTACTCTATGACTGGGCAGTACGAGTTCCCTGTCAAACCCAATGGGAAAGATGCTCGCCGCGCGCGCTGCCAACCAGACTCGGACTGCGGCCGCCGACTCTCCTGGCCGCATCATGATACGCGCACCGCGCCAAGCTTCCTGCTCTCTCATCTCCCTCCGCCCCTCTTCATCACACCTCCCGCCATCACACCTTTCCATCCGTGCGCTATCTCCCTCATCACATCCTCTCCCAACGTAGACCCACAAGATTCCTCCTCAAAGCTAACCTAATCGCTATCTATGAATCTCAGAAAGACTACTCTTCTACGCTACTACTCTATCAGGTCGGATCGTACCCTTATTCACATCTCTCGGCGTGCAGCACAACTGTCAAATTCTCTGTCGCCTGAGCGCCGTACGAGCTCCGACTCGATGTACTGGTGTTCAGGCTCGTCCTTCAATATCAGTAGTTGTACGTAGAGTAAAGTAGGTTGACCGGGATTTACCTTTCAAGAGTAGTTGATACAGACTATAAAAGTGTATCCCAAAGCGGTTTGTGTCGTAGCTGGGTCATCAATCGGTGGGAAGGATAACTTGGTTTTGCAACGAGAATCTGCCGCGATAGAGACACGATGTCTGTGGCTGTGCCCCCCATATTTTCTTTACTCCGGCCAACGCCCTCGTCTTCAGCTTCAGCGCTCAATCGACTGGGCATCAAGTAGGCAGACTCATCGCAAGCACTCAACGTGCTCAACCACACCAGGGGTCTGCGTCATGACACGCACGTCGCGGTTTCGACCCCAAAATGCCCTGGGCGGCGATGGCGCTTGAGAAGGATGCCACCTGTCGCCGTCACTAAGGTTCGGAAGCACAGTACATCTATCCCATTGACGCTGAGCAGCTGTTTATATGACTTCGATGGAGCCCGTTAGTGTCAACTAAAGTCTGGAACCCCTATCTCGGCGCTGCAGAATGATGTCTCAAATCCTCGACGTCAATGCGTCGCGATCTCAGAGGTGCGTCATGCCAAAGTCATCCAAGTGGCCTTGCGAAACCCATTGACGGCTTCGGTGTCTGTCGCAGTAATACAAGCGGTGCGCTCGCACGAGGTCACACTGTATCCATGCAGTAGTGTCGGTATGATCTCAGTTTGATCGTCCCCAAGTTGACGAACATAGCGTGTTATTTACAGACGATGCCAGCATCGCAGCACTGTATTCATGCGATCATCCGACATTATATGCTAGCACGTCGTCGCGGCTTGCACCAAGACCAGTGAGACGTCGGAATCTATGCTTCCATACCAACATTCCGTGGATTGAACGCGTGGCTCAGGCACTTCCCCGCTAGCGACGATTTGACGTCTTTTGGTCCTATCTTTTTCACTGATGCTAGTCAGGCGCAGATAATTATGGGCGCATTACCCACATATCACCCGATCAGTCGCTCATCAGGCCTGGGTCGATCGGGAGCGTTGAATAGCTGTCACACAAACTTTCGCTGCCCCTCTGTCGGGGATCAATCTAGACATCTAACGGGGAAGGTGATTTCATCCTCCTGCTCAAGTCACAATAGGCCTTTGTCGGCAGTAGAGTGCCTGAGATTGGCTTTGGTGATTTTCATGGTGGTCAGACCAATCGGCCATGACTCGAATGCCCTGCGTAGTCGCGTCCTGTTCTAGATATATAGCTTCGAGGTATCTACTTTCCTATCCAGCGCTTTCACATCCAGTCGTGCACAGTGTCCTCCCATCCTATTCTTCCAGAGGCGATGGATCAAGGTCAGGCCTGTGCTTTTGTTTGCGCAGGTATACTTCTTGGAGTCGTCGTTTTCCGGTGTAACATTAATCCAGTGAGTGTTTCATGCATGTAGACAATGTAGGACGAGGCTGAACGGATCACCCCAAGCTGAATGAAATCCCCACGGTCGGGTACTTCTCAACAACTGTGTTGTCATACCTCACTGGGATTGCCTTTATCCGTCGTGGAAGGTAGACACTCCAAGAAGGTTATAAACTGGTACATTACTCTCTCTTTCCCTCTTAACGTGATATTGGATCTCTGCGCTATACTCCTTAGTACTATGGCTCTGCATTCAAGGTCGCATTGCTCGATCGGTGGATGGTCATCATCTCAGGTCCCAAGATGATAGAAGACATCAGAAGACGACCCGAAGACGAGCTGTCCTTTACCGAGGCCGTCCAAACTGTGCGTCGCATAGCCCTTCTACGTGCTGTGTCCACTGCTGAACATCCGGACAGTTACTACAGTACAAATATACTGTTGGTCAGAAGATACAAGAGGACCCATATCATATTGTCGTCGTGAAGGAGAAGCTCCAGAATCGCCTGCTTCCGATCATGACGCTAGGCTTGATCGACGAAGTCGTTCCAACAGTACAGAAATATTTTCCCACCACGGAGGATCGTAAGTGTTGCCAGTATCGAAAGATCATCTGTCGCGTACCGTCCTCTGACGAACGTCCCTAGAATGGACCGATTTCAATGTTGTTGCCGCTTCCTTGAAGATCATTGCCCGTGTAAGTAACCGGGCGTTCGTCGGGTTACCCTTATGTAGGTATGGCTTCGAAATCCCTACGAGACGTCGAGCTAGGGTTGGGTGGTTATCAAACCGTACTCAATTCTTTCACGGCGTGCTAAGCGAAGTGCTCTTCAAGTTGTGGTTAGTTCGCTGGAACAACTAATTCAGGAGTGCCTAATCGCAGGTCGCAATGAGGAGTATAACGACATATCTGTCCATTTTTCTGTGGAGATCGTGAAAGCTGGCACGACACTCTTCCTCTTTCCCGACGTCCTAAAACCGTCAGTCAAGCATTGCATCTGCTCTACAATACTGACATCACATCACGGTATAGACTCGTGGCTCCATTCATAAGCAAGGTGAGACAAACCACCAAGCGCGCTCTGCAGCACCTCGGGCCTATCATTCAGGACCGGCGTATGGCTATACAAGAGCTAGGCATAGAGTGGCCTGACAAGCCAGTAAGACACTCAGTTACCAAATGGTCTCCGGTCTAACAATCGATTGTGTTGCAGAATGATGTCCTGCAGTGGATCATCGACAAAGCCGTCGAGAAACACGAAACTGACGTAGAGATCGTTGAGAGATTACTCCTTCTAAACCTGGCCGCCATCCATACTTCCTCCAGTGTATGCACCTCTCATCTATTGAGATAGGGACCCCTACTCAAGTTGGCTCGTTTCGGCAGAGTATCGCCCACGTACTATATCATCTTGCCGAACAACCAGAGCTCCTATCACCTCTTCGCGAGGAGATCGAGGCTAGCATCGATGCAGACGGATGGACTATGTCTGCCTTCGGGAGAATGTGGAAGCTCGACAGCCTTCTCCGAGAGTCGCAGCGCTACAACGGGTTCACTCTCGGTACGCACTCCTTACCTAATCTACGCTTCGAATCGCAGTTGAGATTAGGCATCATGCAGCCTCCATGATCCGAGTCGCCATGAGAGACATTGTCCTCACCAACGGCACGTTCATCCCCAAAGGCACACTCCTTGGCGCGGCCGCGCATCCCACGCACCACGACAACACCCATTTCCCCGACGCGCACGTCTTCGACCCGTTCCGCTTTGCGCGCATGCGCGAAGCCGGCAGCTTCGAGGGTCACCTCGCGAGGCTCCAGTTCGCCAGCACTTCCCCAGAATACCTCCCGTTTGGTCATGGCCAGCTCGCCTGGTGAGTCCGTCCTAACACATAGCCCAGGCGATGCTGACAGAGATTGGCGTCGGTCATCGATATCCTGTGATCCAACAGCCCAGGACGGCATTTCGCCGCTAATCAATTGAAGGCGGTTCTCTCCTATATCATTCTCAATCACGACCTGAGACTCACGGATAGCAAGAATGACGGCTCCCAGCCGCAGCGGCCACCAAACGTCTATGTCTCCCTGGCCGTCATTCCTCCCATCGATGGAATCATCCAGCTGAGAAAGCGCGCCGTAGCTTGAAGTCCTAGCCTTGACTTTAGCCTAGCGAGGGCTGGCAATGCCTGTCCCAGTGTACGAGGAGCTCCTGTTCAGTTCACATGTATGTCACGAAGGAATGGGATACAATACAATCGCAAGCATAAGATCAGCATACAGTCGGATGTAGACACATGATTAGCGAAGCCAAACGGGAGACATTAGTCTACATGATGTAAGTCTCTATCTAATCTGGAGTCTGATGTCGTCCGAGATGACGTCGTGTAATTCACGACCCAAGACAGTGCCATTATCTGCGGCAGATCACAACATTGTCCCATCAGGAGTAAACGAAACGTGCCGGACACCGCCACCATGGTCGTTCAGCGTCGCCAAGCACGAGCCATCGCTTGTTATTTACACCCTCACCGTCGTGTCAAGAGATGCAGAGGCGATAAACTTTCCGCACGGGGAGAAGCACGCCTTCGATACCTGTGACTTGTGTCCCTCCAGCGACCGCACTATGCCAGAGAGCAGCAGCCGACCATCCGGGGAGAATACCACGTTGTTGACCCATCCTCCGTGCACCTTGCAGAGCAGGGGATCCTTCCTGGTGGCCATGTCCCAAAGACGAATCGTCCCGTCCTCATATCCAACTGCGACGTGCGTAACCTCCGTGTTGAATGCGGCACAGAGAGGCTGAATGGCCCCGTCATCTGGCTCGAATTCGAGTGCGAGGTATACACCAGATACAAAGTCCCAGAAACCGCAAGTGTCCCAATTCTGAACAAGAAGACAGCATCCGTCAGGAGAGAACAGAGGCCTCCCATGCGTTGTGTGGATGGCGCCCTCACGGTCAAGAGGCAGCAGCTGGAATGTCTGTCCATCCCAGACTCGTACAGTGTCGCTGCTATCTCGGGTTGCAATGTAAGCGCTGTCGCTAGACCACGCGCAGCCTGACACAGGAGCCAAGTGACCTTCGAGGGTGGCGACTTGTTGTGGGCTGACGTTGATATCCCAGATCGCCACCTTCCCATCTCCACCTGCGGACACGAGGTGTCGACCATCTGGCGAGAATGCGAGATCCCAAACCGTTCCGATGTAGGCGAACCACTCTTGCGAGATACGCCTATCTCCGGTATCCCAGAGGATGATTGTGGAGTCACTCGAGGCCGTCGCACCGCCCGTCCGAGGAGAAGACAAGTGCGGTGACGTCCGAGTCGTGACCGATTCGACCAGCTACTCAAGCCAATGTTTAAGTCGAACGCTTGCTTACGGAATCAAAGCCACTCACAGTATCTGATATCTTTGGTCAGCGCCCAATTCTCGCTTAGTGGACGGAAGCACCTGCTGAACTCGTCCGACCAGGAGATCGTCTTCCGGACATTCAGAACTGGGCTACTGGCAATTGTCCATATTACACGATGGTCGTGGTACCTAGCCAAGACACGCTCCAATGTTGCACAGAGGTCCATGTTGGCAGGCTGATGACATTCCCTGTATAGACCGCGGATGTCACGACCCCAGACGACCATAGTGACGTCCCTTATCGCCGTTTGCTCTGAGCCGCGTAAGACTTGGATGGCATGCTCGAGTTTCGAGGTTTTAGCTGGTATCCACCATGTCAAGGAAGTCTGACGAGGAGGAGGCATAGACGGTGATTCTGATTCGAGTTATCAGTAAATGATGAGTTGTTCGAGTAGAAGACGAAATGAGACACGAACGAGTACGTTCCCCGATGGCAAGCGTACGGTTCGTCCCTAGTTGAGCTATGTAAAAGAGCAGCTCTGTAAGCCGATTACTCATATCTCGAAGTATCTGCAAGGAAACCCAGAGTGTTGGGGGACCAAAGAACACATTCGATGTTGATATCGCTCACGTTCAGCGTTCGCAGCTGTACTCGATGTGATAGATCCTCTTCCCCCAGAGGAGTACGTGAGTATATTGATATACGCTCACAGGTAAGGTTTTCGATGTTCGGGAAGGCTGAAAGGAATTGAAGGAAGGCGGTGTACGTTCGGAACCAAGCACCGCGGATAGTCAGGCTCAGAAGGCCAGTTGCGAATGGAGTCGCATGCAGGAGTTGGATGTCGTCCGTGTTGATAGACGTAATGCCATCGAATGTGAGATGGCGGAGACCGGGGAGGAAGGACAGCAGCGGGAATGGAGAGATATCGTCCGCGGGCCACGGAAACGACAGAAATTGCACGACAGGCTGAAAGTACGGCTGAGCTCGGACAGCGTTGTAGAACCCCGTGATCTGTTCTTCGCTTCTGAGGTAAACATCTGTTAAGGGGACAAAGACGCTACGAGGATGGAGCTGGCTGCATGTGAGAGCGATAGTGCGCAGCGTGGAGTGGTCGCCGGAACAGTGGTCGATGGTCCTTTCGATGACCTCCCATGGAAGCGCCGGGGACTGCGCGGTAGATGAAACCGAAGGCGAGGAATGCAGGGAGTTCGCCAGATAATCCACAGAACACAAGGGTTTTCAGAGGGCGAACATCGCCGGTAAGCGCCACGGTGAGCTCGAGATAGACCACGACCACGGAAGCTGTGCCAAGACCAGCAAGCATGCGGAGTCACAGACGGGCGTCTGTTGAGACTCGTCCGTCGTCCGAGTCGTATTTCTTTTCCAAATTCCTGGACCTGCCGTACTCATTGGAATGCGTACAGAGACGGCTGTTAATCGTGACCCGCCGTAAAATACTCGGAACAGGGACTCTGGTACCCCCATCACGCTGTTTGTCTTCGAGTGTCTTCATATGCATACACCGCCACTAATATGCCATGCACCCGACATCCTTGGTGGGAGAGCAGGATAGTTGAGCTTTGTACCGTGGTCCACCTTGCACGGGGGTATACCATCTGTTGAACTTGGACTTATCCGGTCCGGACTACACGAGGCTATGCGTCTCCTAGCGCTTAGCTGTAGTCGCTTATGTAGTATGTTACCATATTTGGGACTCTCTGCTCGTGTACTATAGCTATGCTTCCGGACTCTTCTAGTACTGTCTAGGACAATCCGTACTACTCC